CGTGGGTATGATTCTTTATGATGGTGGGAACACGTCAGGTGATTATAGGTCAGTTAATTATAATACACGTCATTTGGTAATAAAGTACACTTAACACCCGTTAGAAATTTTCGATTTAAATTATATTGCTCTCCCTTCCCACTCGGTCATGCTATCTCATACTATCAGTATTTGCGTCCGTGATTCTGCTCTCTGCTGTTAGTTACGGCTAGTACGCAGTAAAGGCAGCACGAGCCTGTCTAAGCAAGAGTTATTCAAAAAGAGCAAGATGACTATCATGCTGGTGTCTCTGATTCTCGGAGCGTTCGCAGCTTTGTATTACTATCTGACGCAAAACTACAAGTATTGGCAGAAACGTGGAATTCCGTGCGCGGACGGGGCCTTGCCAGGAGTTGGTCATATGCTGCCGGCAATCTGTTTTAGAACATCTTTTCCCGAACTTTTTAACAAGATCTACAATGACAATAAAAATCGCAGCATGGTTGGCTTTTACAATTTTACATCACCGTCGTTACTAGTCATCGAGCCGCAATTAGTAAAAACAGTGTTGCAAACAAACTTTGCCAGCTTTAACAAACCCATTTTTCCAATTGATCCCGATTTGGATCCTCTTACGGCGCTAAATCCTTTTGCCTTGACCGGCGATAAGTGGCTAGCCGCCAGAAAGCGTTTGACTTATGCGTTCTCTAGCATGAGATTGAAGATTTTACTGGAGAGCGTCAAACCGGTGTGCGTATTGTTTGAGAATTATTTGAATAATAAGCTAAGTAAAACCGAAAAAATAGAAGTTGAGCTGAAGGATCTATTCTCAAAATTCACCGCGCAGGTAGTGGCTGGCGCTGGTTTCGGCGTGGACGGATATTGCTTTAACGAGGAAAAAGAGAATCTGTCTTTTCAAAAAATCGGTGCGGTTATTCTAGAGCCAAATTTACGGACCAAGATCGCGACAATGTTAATATTTTTAGTCCCGTCATTAAACAAAATATTTAAAATAAGTTTTGTGCCGAAGCATGTTGATAATTTTTTTCGCACGTTAGTGGCGGAACTTATGGAGCAGAGAAGAAAGGACGCGATACCTAGAAACGATTTTCTTCATTTAATGACTGAATTGGAAAAGCAGGATGGCATTAAATTTGACGTGGAGCTACTAACCGCTCAAGCTTTGTCGTTTGTCTTAGATGGGTATGAGACTTCTAGTACAGTTATGAGCCTTGTTGGCTATCAATTAGCCGTCCATCAAGAAATTCAGAAAAAATTACGTGAAGAGGTAATGTCTGTGTTCAAAAAATACGATGGTGAAATCACATACGAAGGCTTGAAAGAGATGACTTATATGGATCAAGTTCTGAATGAATCGCAAAGAATTATACCCACGATAGGATTCCAGGGCAGAATCTGCACGGAAGAGTTCGAGCTGAGAGGGTCCGATGGGCTTATTTGTCGCGTACAGCCCAACACTGAAATTCGGATATCCATTGATGGTTTACATCATGATTCTCGATATTGGAACAACCCCGAGATATTCGATCCTGAGAGATTCAATTCTGAAAATAAACAAAACATCGATCGATTCGCCTTTCTTCCCTTCGGCGAAGGTCCACGTATCTGCCCGGGAATGAGAATGGCTTTGCTGCAAATAAAAGCGGGTCTGGCTACATTATTGAGGAAATATAGTTTAGAACTTTCTCCCAAGACAAAACTGCCTTTGCAAATGACCCCCGGAGTCATTTTAGCATCCCCGAAAGGCGGTTTGTGGGTCAAAATCCGACAGCTTTAATTGCAAATATCTTTTTCTAAGCTATATCAAGCTCACAATTTTTAAATTTGAAAGATAAATTAGTAGGAAATCTTTTTTAATTATACTAAAGTATAAGATTTTTAACTTGATTGGTGAAATATATGTAACACATTTGTAGAAATAAAACTGTCTAGAAAATTGCCTATTTTCCATTGGTCTAATTTTATGCAAAATTACTATTACACATTATTCCACAAGTAATTGCGAACATATTTTAGATACTGAAAATTGAACAATTTTCAAACCGATGTAATTTGGCGAGAAATCATTGTAGACAAAAAGTGGAGAAGCATGTTAAAGCTCGAATTTTATACTTTCATGTAGTATAGATTTTCCAAAAAATTTTTATCTTTCCACGTCTAAGCTCGAAAGAAGAATACGTAAAAATTTTTTTAAACTCTGTATCACAATAAAAAATATTTTTTTCGCAAAATTTTTGTTAAGTGTACAACATTTTAAAAGTACAACATTTTACTATAAAATATAATGCAAAAATTTAGAACATATTGCAATACATATCGATTTTGTAATTGCTGTAATTGTTTTTCATACTGTTAATATTACTGCAACGTACGCAGATAAATTTTTTTATATATTTTTTTATGTATTATCAAATGACAATGATAAGAGCATGTACAACATGAACAATCTCAAGTCAAGGCAAGATCACTTTACTTAGTAAAAAGATAAGTGATGTTTTGATTCCTTACGCTGTACATATAACAGATAACAAGTCGCAGCACAAAATGCACGTTTATAAATTGCAAATTTACATCTAGCATAATTTATATTATACTTTATATTAAATCATGTAAAAAAATGTTTTAATACACAATTATTACATTTAATACATTTTAACATACAATAATAAAAAAAATTTTTAATATAATTTATATTTTTAATCAGCTATTGCAACAAATTTTCATTGCATTATGCATTTGTGGAAATATATCAATTGATATTTTGTAACAATGTTCATTTAACACCCGTTAAAAAATTCACTGATACGAATTTTATTGCTATCTCTTCGCTCCCACTCGCTCACGCTAATTGACGCTATGACGTTATCAATATTTGCGTTGGTAACTCTCTAACATACAGTTACGGTTGATATGCAGTCAAGGCTACATCAGTCTGTTTAAATCAGTGTCACTTGCTACTCGAAACAAGCAAGATGAGCATCATACTGATATCTCTGATTCTCGGAGCGCTTGTAGCTCTGTATTTCTACCTGACGCAAAATTTCAAATATTGGCAGAAACGTGGAATTCCGTGCCCGAATGGAGCCTGGCCAGTGGTCGGTCATATGCTGCCGGTAGTCTGCATGAGAACGACAGCCTCCGAGCATATTGCCAAAATTTACAAAGACTATAAAAACCAGAGTTTAGTTGGATTCTACAATTTTTCGTCACCGTCGTTGATAGTCATCGAACCAGAATTAGTGAAAACGGTGCTGCAGACGAACTTTGCGAGTTTTAACAAAAATTCCTTTCAGGCCGATCCGGATTTGGATCCTCTCGTGGCGCACAATCCCTTTTCTTTAACCGGTGATAAATGGCTAGCCGCCAGGAAACGTTTGACTTACGCGTTCTCCAGTATGCGATTGAAAATCCTACTGGAGAACGTTAAACCGGTGTGTGTGTTGTTCGAAAATTATCTGGACAGCAAAATAAGCAAAACTGGAAAGGTGGAGCTGGAGCTCAAGGATCTGTTTTCAAGATTCACCGCGCAAGTGGTGGCTAACGCTGGTTTCGGCGTGGACGGATATTGCTTTGACGATGAGAAAGAGAACGTGTCTTTTCGAAAAATCGGCGCTGCTATTCTAGAGCCAAATCTACGAACTAAAATCGTGTTTACCATAATATTTGTCGCCCCAGTGTTAAAAAAATTATTAAAATTAAGATTTATACCGAAGCACATCGATCACTTCTTTCGCACTTTGGTCGCGGAACTTATAGAGCAAAGAAGAACGGACAAGATACCCAGAAATGATTTTCTTCACTTGATGGTTGAATTGGAAAAGCTAGAAGGTGATAAATTTGACTTAGAGATAATAGCGTCTCATGCGTTGTCGTTTGTCGTGGATGGCTATGAGACTTCCAGTACAGTTATGAGTTTTGTCGTCTATCAATTAGCTACTCACTCAGAAGTACAGGAGAAATTACGCGAAGAGATTGTATCGGTGCTCAACAAGTACAATGATGAAATCACATACGAAGGCTTGAAGGAAATGACTTACATGGATCAGATTCTTAGTGAGACGCAGAGACTTACACCCGCGGCGGGATTCCTGACGAAGATTTGCACGGAGGAGTTCGAGCTAAAAGGATCCGACGGACTCGTGTGTCGCGTGCAGCCCGGAACTCAAGTTCAGATTTGCTTAGATGGTTTGCATAATGATCCTCAATATTGGAGTAATCCCGAGATATTCGATCCCGAGAGATTCACACCGGAAAATAAACAGAGCATTAACAGATTCGCCTTTCTTCCTTTTGGCGAGGGTCCACGTATCTGTCCGGGAATGAGGATGGCTGTGTTGCAAATAAAAGCGGGTCTGGCTGCATTCTTGAGAAAATACAGCTTGGAGCTTTCGCCTAAGACAAAAGTTCCCTTGGAAATGATCCCCGGTAGTATTTTACCATCCCCAATAGGTGGTTTATGGGCCACCATTAGAAAACTTTGATCGCAAATATCTTTATCTGTTAAAAATCGGATTTGAATTTTTTTTTAATGTCAAAATGTAAAATTTGTAAGAACTTTTTATGTAGAATAAAAAGTAATTTAGTATTTTGCTTGACCTTCGTAGCATCCTGAAAAGCAAACTCATGCGTAAATTATAGTATAAAATATATAGGTACAACGTGTGCGTTTAAAAAACAGAAAGATGAAATAAATATGAAATCTGCTAACTCTTTCGAATAACTTTTTTCGCTTATTATGTGCATTTATTTTATATTTATCATTTCAATCACGTAAATTGTTTTGTATATCGATATAAATCTTTTTTTGCATTTAATCACTTATTACATGTAGTAATCAATTTTTTATGTCCTCATAAAAACACACAACTTTATCGTTTGTATCTAAATATAAATGTAGTAGCACATTATCGAGTGGATGATAAACGCTTCTTGTAATATCCTGATAAACAAACTCATGCGTAAATTGTAGTATAAGATATGTACGTGTGTGTTTAAGAGACAGAAAAATAAAATAATATAAAATATACTAACTCTTTTAAATAACTTTTTCTTTATTATACATACTAATTTTATATTTTGTATTTTATTATTTTTACTGTATTTTTGACAAATTTAAATTAATTAAAAAATGTTATAATTTCAATTACCACATATTGTGCAATTATAAAAATGTTGTTGGATATATTACATTCTTCCAATCCAGTACCATTTCTTATCCCTTAGCAATAATTTTTTTCAATTATATTAAAATTGTAATTAAGTCTTTTAATGTGAAATACGTATATAGATAAATTTATGTAAAAATGCAACTGTTTAAATATTATCTATTTTTTACAAGTTTATTTTTATATCTGTATCTCGCGAGATATTGGTTTTTTTATTTTTTTTATTTTTAACAAACATATTTGTGTTTTCAAGAGATAACTTATAAAAGCGAGATATCTTTCATCAGCGCAGCAGTCAACGTTGATAGGTTTTCAAGAGAAGATTATACGCGCGTTTCTTTTTATGAAGTACAGTCAACATGGAAATCGTCATACTTTTCTTAATTCTCGTTGGAATCGTGGCGTATTACTTTTATCTGGTTAGAAATTATAATTACTGGCGTGATCGCGGTATTCCCTGCGCGAGGGATGTTCTTCCCGGATTCGGGCATATGTGGCCGGTGGTTTCCCTGAAGATGAGTATGCACGATCTCATCCGATGCATTTACGACAGTCATCCGAATTGCAGCATGGTCGGCTTGTACGATAAAACAGTTCCCGCGTTGGTTGTACGCGAGCCGGAACTAGTGAAGACGGTGATGCAGACGAACTTCGCGAGCTTCGCCGAAAATCAGTTGAAGCTCGATTCTCAGCTGGATCCGCTGCTTTCTCTGAATCCTTTCTTTACGGCCGGCAACGTGTGGATCACATCTAGGAAGCGCTTCACGCACGCGTTCTCCGGCATGAGATTGAAGTTGCTGTTTGACTGCGTAGAACGGGTGTGCGAGAAATTCGAGAACTACTTAGACCGGAAGCTGAAGAGCGGTGCGCTAGAAGTCGAGCTAAAGGACTTGTTCTCCAGGTACACCGGCGAGGTAGTGGCTGACGCTGCTTTCGGCGTGGAAGGTTTCTGCTTCGAGGATGATATTCGTCGAGAGTCTTTTCTCACGATCGGTAGATCGATATTTGAGCCGAGCTTCCTCAGCAAGATCGTGCAGACTCTTAATTTCTTTCTGCCCCAGTTCAACCGGATCTTCCAGATGCCGTTTTTGCCGAAAGAAGCGGATCGTTTCTTCCGCGACATCGTCAAACAGGTGTTGCAGCACAGACAGCGAGAGAGCGTGAGAAGGAACGACTTTTTTCAATTAATGATGGATCTGGAGAAAAGCGCGAACAATCACTACGACGAGGAAGTACTCGCCTCTCACGCTCTCGGCTTCTTCTTCGATGGTTACGAAACGTCCAGTATCACGATGAGCTTTATCGGCTACCAGCTAGCCCGACATCCGCAAATTGTTCAGAAACTCCGCGACGAAGTGGAGAGCGTGTTGGCTAGATATGACAATCAGCTGACCTACGAATCCTTGAAAGAGATGACATATATGGATCAGGTGATCAACGAATCGCAGCGGCTCTATAGCGCGTTGGCTATCTTCGGCAAGATCTGCACTGAAGAAATCGAGCTGAAGGGCTCGGACGGACTGTCCTGCCGTGTGCGACCGGGAACGCTCATCCTGATGTCCGTCGACGGCCTGCACAGAGACCCGAAATACTGGCGTGAACCGCATATCTTTGACCCGGATCGATTTGCAGCGGATAAAAAGGCGGAGATCACAAAATACACTTTTCTACCGTTTGGCGAAGGCCCGAGAATCTGCGTAGGTATGAGAATGGGTCTGTTGCAAATGAAGGCTTGTCTGGCTACGTTAGTAAGAAAGTATACCTTGGAGTTGTCGCCGAAAACCAAGGAACCCTTGAAGATGCTGCCTGGCAGTTTTCTAACGGCGCCTGTCGGTGGATTGTGGGTTAATATTAAACGTCTTTAGTTTCTCGTTTTGTATACTATTTTATTTATAATTCTTATAGTATATTGTCATAACTGCGTATATACATTTGAAATAAGTCAAAACACTTTTCCGGCAAGTGTATAAAACGATAATAATAATATATTGATACCCTGATAAAAATTCGATTATTTTAAACTTATTGCACTTCTTTTTCAAGACGAAGATATTTATCTGCGATGAATATAAAAATTCTGAAATTTTTTAAATATTTAAGTATTGTTAAATATTTTAAATATTGTATTAAACACGTATTTTTTCGATATGCGTGTTAATTTATTAAAAAATATATCTATCTCTATATTATATATAAAGTTTCCATTCTTTTTCAGAGATTTATCAAATAAATACGCGCTGCGCTCGTATATCAAAGTGTCGTTAGCGAATACAAGTTAATAAATAAATGTATGTCATGTTCAGGCTAAGCGAGTATAGTTGATACAAAAGAAATACCAATATTTAGCGTTGGAATTGACGCGGTTTGATCATTTTCATGAAATCAAAGTATGTAACAAATATTGAAAAATCTCTTTTGAGTTTTACTTAAATCCTGACCTTAGACGATTTATTAATTACTGATGTTATGTATTATTCTAGTAAAAATGTGTACTTTGATTCTTCGATTCGAGTGTTTTATATTTTACATAGCGCATAATTATAAACAAAATTCTATTTATCAAACTATAAATCGTCTAAAACAGTGATGGGAATTAGTTGCAACTTTCGGCTCGATTTTCTGGTTGACGCCTACTGTCCCTCTTTGCCGCTTGCATGCTAGCGCTAACAACGCACGTAACTAAGGCGCGCGATACTCAACCTCAGGAATGTCCATATCACAAATGCAACAAGTTAATAAATATGGGATATACAGGGTGATTCAAAATAACCTGATGTCCTTGCAATGCCATATTCTTGAGCAAATTCTGAGACGATTTTTCCTTTTACAAAATTTTGTCCAAAGCTTAATTTTCGAGTTGTAATTAAAAATAGCAACTTACGAGTTCGGTACAACGGGCAGGCAGGGACGCGCAACGGTATAATGAGACTGTCAAGTGTTTACTATCGTCTCATGACACATTACCCGTCCCTGTCTGTCCGTTGTATCGGACTCGTAAGCAAACTATTTTCAATTATAACTCGAAAAGCTTTGGACAAAATTTTGTAAAAGGAAAAATCGTCTCAGAATTCGCTCAAGAATATGGCATTGCAAGGACATCAGGTTATTTTGAATCACCCTGTATATAAATTTCCACATCACCTGTGAGATACTATTGTTGAAGAATGCGTTAATAACAGTACCTCACAGGTGACGTGGAAATCTATTGTCTTATATTTATTATCTTATTGCATTTGTGATATGGACATTCCTAAGACTGAGTATCGCGCATCTTAATTACGGGTTGTTTGGTGACTCGTTACTAGAATACGAGCGGCAAGGAGAGGACAGTGGGCGTGAATCAGAAAATCGAGCCGAAAATTGCAACTAATTCCCATCTCTGGTCTAAAATAAGTCTTACATCAATAATTGCAAACAAGTGAGGCGATTTTTTTTGTATTCAAGCATCGAGCTTGCTTTGAAGTCCGAATCTATCAACGCGATTAACGGAATTCGGACCTCGACAGTGTGCAGCGTCCACAATTCTGCAATGCCGCTACCACTGCAAGCTCTTCGTAGCATTTTGATATGTCGGGCTCTGAGCGGAATAGAATTGCGAGTACCAGCGGCGGTACGCAACAATAGCACGGTCCTCGCGCACCAGGATGGGCTGTCGCTGAAACTGCTTGTGATTCCAGATCTCGACGTCGCGCTTGAACATCAGGCACTCGCCTAGAAAGACCACTTTCGCGTAGGGCGCTATTAGGGGTGGCGAGTAGATCTGATGGGTCACTCGTTGCAACAGCGGTTCGACCGGCGTGACCGTCTGCAGGATGCATATGCGGCCGAACGGCGAGTCGAGCATCAGCTCGACGTAGCCTGGTCCGGTCAATTCGACATACACGTCGAACGCGAGCAAGGTAAAGCGTTCCAGCAGAATTAGAGCGTGGCGCATCTGCATGCCGGCTTTGTGCTTCTCCCGCCTGGTGATTCCGTTCTCCGCGGGATGATTGGAAATCTGGTGAATCGACGTGCCGTTCAATTTCACTCGCACCTCCGCACTCGCCGCTTCCGTTTTCGCGTCCGTTTCTGCGTCCGTATCGGAATACGAGCAGTGCGGTCGCCACCTCGCGTTGGTCCACGAATGCCGTGCCAGCCAAGGCTTTAGCCAGCCAGAAAAAAACATTGCCGGACTGTGTAGGGCGTTGAGATGCGCGTAATCGGCCCCATTTTCAGCTATATCCTGCGAGCATTATTTTATATTACATTCCTCAGAATGTCAAACTTCTCGGAAATGACAAATAATCAAGATTATGTTTCAGACGAAACTTAAATTCTCTCCGGGAAGAAATAAGAACGCTTCGAATTTGATTTACTTTCATGCGTAAAAAATCTGAATATATTGATTTTGCAAACTGGGTATCAAGAAAGCCGATTGTATTGTAATTAAAAGCTATGCCTGATTTCGTAATTGTTAATTATGCGGCTATCGATGCAACTGACACCGTAATAGTAATGCGATAGCATAACAGCGTAATAGTCTGAGAATACATAAAGTCAGCACTAATCGAAATACGAAACGCACTGATCGAAATCCTGATGAAGAACTTTCACAAATTGAATTTACTAACAAAAAGCAAAAATTTAAAAATTGAAAAATTCAAAGAGCGACAAGAAGAAATCAATTGCCTCGTACGAACGGATCGCTTTATCCTAGTTTCCATGATAATTACATCGTGTTGGGGTGGTTTTATCAAATCAAATGCGCGACGAACCTGTATGTGACAGTTAATGAGGAATTCATTGCGACCTTGGAAGCGCCATGACCCGTTGGAGATGCATGGTTGCGGCTGGGGCTGCCAGTCCGGCTCGATGGATTCAGCGTGATACCAGACGAAGATGAGGTGGTTCACTTCGCAGCACTTCCAGGTTCTCACTCGCGCAATGTGCGGCACTGCAAATTATAAAAAAAAAGAATAAAATTAGAAACGACGCAATTGAATATTGCTACTGGTTCTGTTAATTTAATTTTTTCTTCTTAATCTTGAGTATTTCTCGATATAATAATAAAGTGAGAATTGCGAATAGTTGTATTAACACGCGATGTATCATGATACATGAATGAATGATTCATGAATCATGATTCGCGAAAAGCGGCCGATCAGATGCAAATATTTGTGTGTATGCACAAATAGACATCTCGATGCAGGAATGCAGTTTCAAGGTTGCGAAAACACCCGATATCTTGGTCGATGTACTTCGGGAGTGAAAAGGTAAATGGGTGCCGCTGTGCGCAATATGCGAAATTGAAAATATATAAAATTCTATCAATACCTTTTTCGGCATAAGGCACGTTGTCGCAGAAACCATCCGCTCCGCGAAACGTCCAGCTGTGAAAAGGACATTCCAAGCAATCTCCTTTGACACGACCACCCTCGGCCATATTCGCCCCCAAATGCGGGCAATACGCGTCTAAAATGTTGACAACGCCTTTTTCGGTTCTTGAAGAGAAATTGATAAAATATTATATAACAAATGCAGAGTGTCTTATTTCTAGATTAAATAACATATCTTCCGAAACTTTAAATTAATATAAAATTTCAAGAAATATTCAAAGAAATGTCAGTACAAATTAAACTAGACATATCATTTTAATTCAAAATTTTAATTAAATCTAATTAGATAATAAATAATAATAATTTTTTAATATTTCGTAAAATATAAAATAGCATCTAAAATAAGTATTACATTATAAAGATATATTTTTGCTTTACTTTCTAATTTTCAAACAATGGCTTTCGCTTTTATTTTCTACTAGGATATTTAATTTTAATTTTTTGTACATGAATTTTTTTGCTCGCGTCATTCAAACTTTATTTCATTCGTCGACGAAAATTCTGCACTCATACTGCACTCATACTGCACCTGAATACTGCAAAATTCTCTCCAAGAGCGGACACGTGTTTCACTTGATTCTTTTTTAACTGTAAACTTTCGAGCAGAACGAACCATCCGTTAGGATAAACCGGTGGTAGTTTACCCACCTTCCTATTTTTCGATCCCACACAAACACTACCGATTTTCCGATTTTCTGCTCGCAGATCCTATAACATAAATATGAAGCCGATAGTAGAACGAATAAATTTGGAATAAAATTTGCGTAAAGTCGTTTTCGAAGCCGCTACTCACTCTGATCCAATTAAACTTGAAAAAGTACGCGAAGTAGATGAGGGCCAGCAGGGTGCCCGCGATTCCGACGTACCATTCCAACATCGTCATTTTTGTGTCAAGCGATATCCCGCACTCTCGGTGTCCGTCTCCGGACTCTCTTATTCCGACAGGTGTAGGTAGATGCGGAGCTCACGAATCCTCGCTCCTCTTGACGCTCGCGCGTAATGTATATGGGAGGGATCGGAGGGCGAGAAGAGTGCGCGAGAGATAAACGAGATCGTGCAAAACAAAACGGCCAGAAACGATGAAGGAGAAGCAGACGGGAGAGACTGGATTAGAAGGGGAGAAAGAAGAAGAAAGAGAGAGTTAGACGGATCGGAAGGGCAAACAAAAGAGGGGAGGGATGGGGGAAGCTACCGGTGCAGTAGCCCGCGCGCGTGTTTGCCGGGAACGGGACAAGAAAAAAGGAGGACTCCTGACAAGATAGGACAGGATGGGGACAAAGACGACGGCGTGGCGTGCGCGAGGGAGAGAAGAGAAAAGGGAGAGAGGATGCGGCGATGGGCGCGCGGTGCAGTTACTTAGTTAGTATGTAAGCGCACGTGCGTGTGCGTCAGCGGCGACGGTGCGTATGCGAGACCTACAGCCGCAGGAATAAGGGACGGGGGAGTCTTTTACGCGAAGACGCGGGGAACGCAGAATACCCGGAGGGTACGCGCGAAGGTGGGGGCGCGCGGTGAACAGGACAGAAAGAAAAAGTAAAAGGACGATAGGGCTCGTCGCCGCGGATGACAAGGGAACGACAAGGGAAAGACTAGCCTTGGTGAACGGAGACGCGGAAAAAGAGACACCGTCGGGATCTCCTATAAGACTTTTCGGGTGACTGAAACGCACGGGAGGTCCATCCGACGGCTTATATACGCCGGCCGTCCTATCGACCGGCCGTATCTATCGAAATGCGTGTGTTTTTTCCCGAAGCGCCGCCGTTCGTCCGTCCGTTCGTTCGTCCGTCGCGATCGGCACGGCTGTTGTGTCACGTAAACGACTTGGTCATCCGATTATGTATGCCCGGCCACGGGCAGAGACGCGGGCGAGCGAACGAGCGGCTTATATATCGCGCCAACCTTATATCACCAGATCTAAAACAGCCCCGACTCCTCGTCTCCGTCTCCTCCTCGCGCTCTTGCCTCCTCCTCTTCTTCTTCTGCTTCTTCGTCCTCGTCGGGTTTCGACGTGTCTCCTTTTATCGAGGCTGTATATCGATCGATGCTGCAAGCTCGCCGACGTACATATACGCTCGCTCATACGCGCATACGTCCGTTCGTCCGCCCGTTCATCTGCTTAGCATATCGATCTCAGCGGACAGCATCGCCGGGAATTCACATTTATATTCCGACGTTCCGGCTGGTCTCTGCGCGCATCCCTCGCCACAGAACACAAACGCGTCTTCCTCCTTTACTCGCGAACATGTATTTCCTCCTGGATTTACCTTTCTTCCTTTGATACGACGAACGCACTACCGGACGCCGCCGACGACCGTGACTGACAGATCGCGTAGAACTTTCCCTCTTCTTCTTTTGGCCTGTCTTTCAGTTTTTGAAATGCTTACGCTCGTGAAATAGGAAACTTCGGCTTCGTTTTTCTAACGTCATCCAATGGGTGAATGCAACGCAAGATATCGCCCTTGATTATCGAAGCGAAATATGAGCAAAGACATATCGGATCGTATAAAGACAAGCTTCTAAGCAAGAATTATAATGTCGATCTGTCTTCCGCGTGTATGTTCTAAAAGTCATCATCAGTGTGCGATAATAATTAAAACAATGAAATATTTGCAACTAAAAAATTACGCTTATTCTGAAAACTATACTCGGAACGTCTATTTGAGAATCTCGAATTTCTAAATTGATTCCGATTCTTTAAATACGTTCTATTTCGTAAATTATAAATAATTCACAGATTTCTATCTCAAATTTGATGGCAAATTACAGATTATTTGAAATAATCTTAAAGAACTTTAAGCTCAATAGGCTACAGCGTTTTCTTTTACAATTTTCTGCGTGTTTCTTTGAATAGAAATGAATAATGGAAATATGCACATTTCCGGATGGAGAATAAAATATCACACACGGAAAGGATTTCCAACTTGCTTTTGTAATTTAAAAATCCGGGCCACTGTCGGTCACTGACTATCTTAAATATACTGGACAAGCGTGAGCGTGCAGTCGTTCGCAATCTCGGGGAGCAACGCGCTGCATCACCAATACTTGGAGACCAAATTAATTATTCAAACGTGTGTAGCAAGACGGAACTCTCCGGCGCGAGTGGCGATCGGCGGCATCGATAGCGGCCCTCATAAATCCACGAAATGACTCGTTTTCCTATTTATCAAGATGCCCATCTCCCTTCTTTTTTTTTTTCTTTCTCTCTGCCGTCGCCCGAGTCCGAAATTCTAACGCTCGCTTTGCGTCAGCTACGGCGTAATATTATTCGGTGAGACGCCAGTAATGAGATCGTTTGTGCGCTCGCTTGTTCGCGAAACCCGTGCCAGACGAACTAACATGCGTCGTGCTGCGTAGCCATAATCAAAATATTTGAACAATGCGTGAGTCCGAAAGTGCTTAAGCACCGTTTCACGGCAGAGGAACATCATCTTACAGTGATACTTAGAACGCGCAGTGATACTTATAAATTCCAAGAGTTTTTATCCACGAGAAAATGACTTAAGAATCTTAGAAAATGTTCAAGAATCTATAAAAGAAGTATTCGCTGAATTTCTGCGTGAAAGAACTCTAGTCTTTAATAATTAACTAAGAAATTAATTATTTATTAGTAACTAAAGTAGACATAAAAATAATAATTACCTCTTTGTTTTGTACATTGTACTTTCAAAAATATCAATCAACAGCATTATTAATATCAATTAATTAAGTAAAGCAATTACGGATATCGAAGAAGCAATTAAAGAATAATTTTCTGTTGCTATATGTTTTAACATTATTACTTTTATTCTCAGCGCCAACTTATGACTGGTGCACGACTGACTACGTGTATTGCGCCACATATATTTGATCGATATATTGACAAAGAACATTTAAATACATCATAAAAATGTAATTTAATTAACATCAAGTTATTATAAAAATATTCATTTACTCATAAATAATGAATAAAATTAAAAAATTCTAAAATTATAATTTTTTTTACTTGAGAAAAAATATTTATCACTTACGTCACATATTTAAAAAAACAGCAAACTTTTACAATATGTTAAATATCTGTATGAAATGTAAGGAAAGAATACAACACTTCTGTTGCGTGTGTAATAGTTTTGATAATAATTTAGTACAATTACAATAATTCCATATAAGATAATATTTTTTAAACACACATATTATTCAATTAACACCGATATATTTTACCTTAAATTCTTATATGGTTTAATATTATTAAATCATTGTATATAGTATTATATACCTAACACAGCAACAAAAATAAAAAAATAAAAAAATAAAGATGTGCTTCTTTTTATTTATACAAATATTTGTATATATTTTATAAACATATCCGTAAATTTTATTTTATTACAGTCATTTATTGTAAAAATAAGACACTTTTACAAGCATTTTATAAAAACTACACAAAGTCTTTCATTTAGTTAATTCTATTTAAAGTCAATATCAAACTATTATAAATACATATTAATATATGAAAAATTCTTAACAATTTTATATCAAAGGTGCAACTCGAAATCTACATCATCCTGACACGAATCAATACACAGGTCCTCCGTTAGAAAATTATTTTGATTTCCTCCATAACCACCGTATAAAAAAACTTCACATTTTCTGTTACTCGTATTATACCAATATCTCAACTGCTCGGCGCAAGAAGACCACCATCTGCACCTTTCACCATAGTCACGAAAAGTATTACAAAAAGCAGGTCCTGCAAGACAGAAATACATTGTGCAAGAACTTAAATCACAACGCATGCAGTGAACTATGAAAAAAAATATATCAGTTTATACACAGTTTAATATTTATTCTATTTATCCAGTAAAATTAAACAGACAATTTTATATTTCTGATATTTGTAGCAATTTATGATAACCAAATATATACATTAAATAGTAATTAACAATTTGAGTTTTCCAAATTATATGAAAAGTATCATAATAGCAAATAAAATAAAAGATTATACTGTGCGTGTACAATGTAAGAGAAATAAAACGCTTTTATAACGCTTCCTTTAATTTTAGTGTCTTACGTGAACGGGATTCCTCTCTTTTTGATGGACGCATGTATACCGTGCTAAACGTGCTGAAGGTGACAAGCATGAATAACAAGCTTATTTTGAAACTCATCTTCTTATGCGTTGTCTTGATCAATATAATATATGCTTCTCTGAAAAGTTTATTATCAATAATTAGTATACGGACTGATCTGAAATTACATAAATTTAATTTTGATCATAACATCATATATAAAAAAAGATTAATGTACAGACAAGTGAATCATAAAATCCAATCTGATTTATGTACATGAATTTATAGTTGTTTCAACAGAGAACGTAAGTTTATTTGTTCTTTACAATAACTTTAAATTGTATAATTAACACTGTTTATTATTTATCACGTGCATACATATTCCAAAAAAATGAAATATAGCTCTGTAGAGAAAATGTGAATAACATTGTAAAATATTAACGGCTATTCTTTCGATATGCTTCCTATGTAAGAAACTACCGCAAAGTTATGATTGTGTCTATTAGTCTTATTCGTACGAATGGAATTCGTACGTTCGGCATTATTCGGTTTTCGTCGCGATTAAAGCATAAGATAATTATAGCGTGAAAAATCTTTGCGTTGTAGTTACGATGCGTGTATGAATATTAAACACATCACTTTGACAAAAGAAGACGTTAGTGCATAAGATATACTTATACAAGAGCAAAAATTATCCATATTATATCCATTCTTGCTGAATAAAGAAGAAAATTTTATGTCAAAAATAATTTTGTATTACTGTGTTACACATGTGAAAAACATAGTAAAAATTTTTATAATTCTTTCATGGTCTGCAACTACTGCCGTACATAGTAACTTTTCATATAAAATCTTCTCCGTGATATAAAACATGTTAAACTAAATTCTTTGTTTGTCATCTCTTTTACTTTTCACAAAACTGCATATAACAAGATAGTTATTGAAAAAATAAAAAAACGAGAACCGTTTAAATAATGTTAAAAGGTTAAATTTTAATATTTTTAAGTCTAATTGAATAGTAAAAGTAAATTTAACGTACGATAAAATTGATTAAAGATTACTTACCAAGTTTTAGTAGATTTCTTTTCTTAAGAAGAATCAAGTTTGATATGTCCAAATTTCTGACCTAATCGTACATGTCTAAGTAAATCGCGAGATCAGGAGACGTCTGTTACCCATAGACGACTAAATGTAACAGCATACAGGATCGCAGTCGATCCTTCGCCGATTCCTCTTTCTATAATCATAGAGCTTGCGCATTGTCTACTAATAACGTGGCTGATAAATTACGAATATCATCGTTGTGATACACCGTATGGTATGGTTTTCTTAGGATGCCTATTGCAAATATCACGATGCTCGCACTAAATAATTGCAATAATGATAATCTGAACCATACACTCATCATAAAGTATATAAGTATAATATTTCATAAATAATATAATAATGCAACAATATTATACATTTCGTATTATTTTATTTTTCAATAAAACGTTTTCTTGCATCTCGATACAGATGTTATTTACTTTATTTACATTGTTGTAATTTCAAGATTACACATCATAGTTTGAGTCCAACCAATTAAAACTAAGTTTCGCGAAGCTTTTACATCGAATGTCGTCTATAAATTATGAAACGCTAACTTCGTTCAATTTTCGTAAAAAAAGAATAGAAAGTATACAATATTTTTAAATTATATAGATATCTCAAAAAACGTTGATTGTTCTTAATTAAAATTACATGTTTTGATGTTTTTAAATTATTCTACATAGTATAATGTATTCAATGTGTGTAAAAATAAAAAAAACATAGTAAACAAAGTAAAATAAAAATGAGAGAAATGTTTGGTTTTCCTTACACTTATATATTTCAACGGATTTAATTTTGTTACAATTAATTCTTGTAAAAATAAAGAATTTGTATTAATATCTGATTAGAATTTTATACAGTTTTACATTTCCAATTAAAACTTATTTGGAGGTGTATTTTCCGACAAAATGCAAATTTTTCGGCACAAGCGTTCATTATTGAATTTGTTAGCATTTTCATCACAACTTTTCACACAAACATTCTACATTTATTTTTTATGTTGTCATCATAATATTTCCTTTAAAAGTGATTGCGATCTTTTAAAAGAATCTACGTTGTAATTATAATCGCATCATCAAACTATAAACTCGATGCAATACATACTAAACGAAGTATTACAAACGCACCAAATATTCAACACCTATTAATTTTCATAAAGACTCAAAAACTTAAAATTTTATCCACGAGAAAAAGAGAGCAATTAATGAGCGTTTTTTCTAGAACAGATTTTAAAGAAAATTAAAAAATTAAAATATGGGTATTTGCTAAGTAAACAGTGATAACAGTTTTCGTATAACAGCATTATTAATATTAATTAATTAAGTGAAGCAATTACAAATATCAAAGAAGCAATTAAGGAATAATTTTCTGTTGTTATATGTTTCAACATTATTACTTTTATTTCCAGCGCCAACTTATGACTGACCACGTGTATTGCGCCACATATATTTGATCGATATATTGACAATGAACATTTAAATACATCATAAAAATGTAATTTAATTAACACCAAGTTATTATAATATTAATCCACTCATAAATAATAAATAAAATTAGGAAATTCTAAAATTATAATTCTTTTTACTTGAAAATGTTTTCTATTTACCTTACATATTTAAAAAAGCATATTCAACTTTAGCAATATGTTAAATATCTAAATACAATAAGAAAATACAATACTTTTGTTGCATGTATATAATAATTTTGATAATAATTTATCCCAATTACGATAATTTCATATTAGATAATGTTCTGTAAACCAAAATAATATTTCAATAAACAGTGATTAAGTTTTTATTTAAATATTATACGCTTTAATGTTATATTAAATTATTGTATGTAGTATTATATAAACCGAAAAAAAAAAAAAAAAATTAATTAAAAAGTACTTTTGTTTACTTACACATATATTCATACATATTTTATATACATACCCGTACATTTTATTTCATTAGTCATTTATTGTAAAAATAAAACACTTTTATATAAGTATTTAATAAATACTTTACAAAGTCTTTCATTTGGTACTTCAATTTAAACTCATTAATAAACTCTTATAAATACATATCAATATATGGGAAAGTCTGAACCATTTTATATCTAAGGTTTATTTTGAATTATCTCTCTCTAGAGCACGCGACTAAACAATCTTTCCAAGTTAGAAAATTATTTTGATTCCCTCCGCAACGACTGTACATGAACATTTCGCACGTTTTCTTTTCCCGATCATACCAAAATCTAAATACACCACGTGGATTGTAAGGATGGCAACTACCACGGTCATAACTATCATTACAATAAGAAGGTCCTGTAAAAAAGAAATACATTGTGCAAGAACTTAAATCATAACGCATTCAGTAAACTATGAAAAAAACATACCAATTTATATACACAGTTAAATATTTATTCTATTATTCCAGTAAAATTAAACTGACAACTCCATATTTTAGTAATTTATAGCAATTTATGACAATTAATATATATGCATTAAATAATTATTAACAATTTGAGTTCTCTAAATTACATGAAAAGTATCATAATAGCAAATAAAATAAAAAATTACTGTGCATGTACAGGGTGCTTCCGCAACATACAGATCAGTAAGTCGGGTTGCCTATTTGTTTATCGGCAGGGGCATGCTTTACCGGCCGTGCAGAATAAGGTTAGATCGCAAGTCCGGCGGAAAATAAGGCAAAAGAAATTTGAGTTTTACCATTCTGGTATAGTGTAAGATTCAATAATATATATATAATAAAATATATATATAATAGGAGTTGTTTAATAATAGAAATATTAATAACGACATAATAATAAAATTAGTAAACATTAAACGATTATTAAACAAATAACACAATTTACAAAATAAATATAAATAATATTTT